TACCCAAAACCAACACGCACCACCCCCCAACTCACCCTCCTCATTATACCACATCCTTTCTTACTGCCAAGTTTTGCTAATGCACAAAGAAGAATACTCATTTAATCATACCATTTGACACTTTAAACCACCATCCGCCAACTGCCTTAGTTGTACAGTCCTTATTTAACTACTAATGTAAATTTGGCGTACAACACCACCAGTGGATTAACCGTCAGAGGAAGGCTACACTGCACATATGGCATGTGGCACCCACCCACTACCCACTTGGCAACTAAGCAGTGATAGTTCGCCTTTTTCCCACACATGACTCTGCAAGCTAGCGGTCATTCCAAATAGCAGAGTCCGCTTCAACTGTTCGCTGTTTTTCCGAAAACAGCGGTAAACTGAAAGAAAATAAAATCCAGGACTTTTTTTCTTCTTTGTCTGCAAGAAAACTCTCAATTAGGCAAAATGCTCCCATTTTTATATTGAGAAGAATTTCGAAGCTTATGTCATCTAATTCTTTATTGCATTAGCCGCTGTTAAGACACGCAGATTATCATATCAAGTAATACAAGCTTCAAGATAATGAAACACAAGAAAGAGACACGAGGAGGCAAGTGCGTCCGTTGATTGAGGGCTAGAGAGAGGCATCGCCAATGGACTGTTTGCCTATCTGTCCCTGCAGTTTTATGCCAAAAAAAAATTCTGAAATTATGTAAATTGAGCCCAAAAATGTGAAATTATGCGATTCTGTTAATTTTAACAAAGAATGATAAAGGAAAATAATCAGAAATTAATCAAAATATGATCAAGTTTTGTAAAATTATGCGGAGTGCATATAACCCCTGGGACAGGCCTATGTTTTTCTCACACTTCAGTAGGTCCGCACCCTGTGTATAAGCCTACTGATGCAAGGATAAAGAATGTTATGTCTGGAGCCTGACCATCTGTTGGTCATGACCTATTGTCTCTACTGAAGCTGGTTCACATAGGTTCTACACATGAGCATGCTACATCTCATGATGGGCTTCATGACGTCAGTGGCATTGGGCTTTCTTTCTCATTTCATTATCTTCTACTCTTTGGTCTGTTCTGTGTAACTGGTTGACAGGTTAAGCAAGCTAACAATGTTGAAATGAAAGTGCATAACATACAGCCTGAAGCTCAAATTGCAGTCAGTAAAAGAGATACATGAAAAAAAGGAATCTTTCAAAATGTGAGACTTACGGTAAGCATGACATACACAAGTGTACACTTTTGACAATCATTGCTTTTTTAGCAACCCTCTCTGAACCAAAAGCCCTGCTAAATGGAAGAAAATCAGGCAGTTGTGCACATTTCGGTTTAAGCGGACTCACTATAATAATATGTGAGGCAGCGCTGTGGAATCAGGCTCTCGTCAAAATAAAGTGAAGAAACCTGCATTTTTCCGCAGGTTTGTGAATTTTTATAAAAATTTTTGTTTTTTGGTTCAACACCTTTCATGCCCATTAAAGAACTAATTTCTGTGTTGATTTTTTTGAAAAACGTTGATTAAAGGCACAAAAAATGTAAATTTTTAGTTACCACAGGCTCTTAAGCTAAGAAAATAACTAATCTTTGGCGACTATTTTCTCACTAATTTTACCTCTGAAAACAGGTGACCCCCACCTCCTTCAATTGCAAGTATATCAACTTGTATTCTAGGTAAATGGATACTTTTTAAAATCCGAATAAAGACAGGTGAACAAGCTTTAAGATGATACCAATAACTCTACATGTCCAAAAATTAACGACAGCCTGATTCCTCCACGCTGCCTCACATGGTTTGGAATAAGGGAAATAACTCATCGTATTGTAATTCTTCATACAGTCATGACAGAATCATCTCCCTTGACTGTGGGCTGTTGATACCACTTTACGAAGGACTAAACTCCCTAATATTATACTATTTTTACCAACCCTCTATGCTGCCAACTTCAAGTTCGTCTCAGGGTTTGCGGTAGTATAATGGGCAGACACAGAAAAGTTGGTAAAAGTAAATAAGCCCCTTCCCATTCTGTTCATGATTGTTTTGTTCGGCTAGGGTTTTGTGATTAGAGAGATAATGCTGCGTCAGTTTCTCTTCTCTAAATATGAACAAATGGATTAAAATGTTTTCTAAGAGTATCACGCAGTTGGTTGGAGGGTGCCATTTATAGGTCCTGTATCTTTTCTTTCCTTTGGTTTGTTTTTTCTCTTCTCTCTCTGTGTGGTGAACACGTG